GCAGCACCACCATCGAGACGCGTCCAGCGTCTCTGTGGGACGCGCCCAGTGTCTGTGAAGGACGCACCCAGTGTCCGTGACGGACGCACTAGGTGTCTGTGTGAAGGGCGCCAGCACGCTCATAACACTGCGAAGCATCGGCGTCGTCTGTGTAGTGTTGGCTTTTATGCAGTGCATTTGAACCACCTATGACCACGTGATGGTCCGTGACCAATAGCATTGCTGAAATCGTCAAAAGCCGGGTGAGCGGCACCCGGAAAGCAGTAGCGCAACTCTGCATATACAGAAACTATAAGCGCTATATATGGGCGCGGTCACCTAGCGGTCCCCTACCAAACTAGAGGATGCGCCGAGAGTGGAGCGAGCGTCGCCTGAGCGGCGGCACGCCATCTAACGAGCGCTGTTGAAACGACGATCACGGCTGCTCCTCTAGCGGGAGCAATGAGCACTAGCGTCCACACCGGTGCAATGACGAGGGACAACCCCTCCTCTCCCGCTAAAGAAGCAAGATCCTAAAATATTCACTGACTGGCCCGGTGGGAGTTCAACAGTTGGTTTAAATTCATATAAAAATTATCTGAATATACGAACAATGTAAAGAAGGAAAATGGTAGACTAAGTTTACAAAGTGAACTTATCCCATCTGTGATATTCAACGTTAAATAGGAAGCGGGTGGACAACGGCAAACAGAACTTAACCTTAACCATTATGAACCTGGTCGCGGGGCTACTCTACAGGCAAAAATTTTTAATGTTGAAGTTACTCGCAGGATTCAAATTCTAGCTAATCAGGATACTTAACGCAGCGACAAAACGCACATGCAAACGAACAGCTACTAAGGCGCGGAATTCTTCTTTTCTTTGTTCACTTTCAATTCACTCTCATTTTACCCCGTTAAACCCCACATATCAATCAATCAATCTCATTTCACCCCTCGTTAGGCGCTGTGGGAGGGGCTGACCGCGATATCAAGCAGAGTCACCGCCTGGCGGCAACTGGCCGAAATGGTGATGTGTGGATTGCTCCCTGCGTCGTCTGCTAGCCACGTCGTGTTTAGATAAGGGAGTATTTGATCGCGCATGTTCGTAAAGGGTGGTTTGTTCGGATACGTCAGCGCAAGCCTAACTGCTTGTGTTCGTATGCCTGAAACGACGTATGAAAGTATTCGGTCTTGCTCGGCTGGTAATGCACTGCAATAAGACCAGCGATGTGCAACTTTTTAGAGTGTTGTGTACCCTTCATTTACCAGAAATATTTTAGTGTAGGTGCCACTTTCAGCTTTAGGCACATCGTAAAATGCACTTGGCATTTGCTCAAACATGAAGGCTATTAAATGGTGAGTGAATTCAGCGTGGTTGTAAACGAAAACAAGGCTCTACGTCACGCCTGTACTTGGACCTTGTTGTTAGGTGTATAACTACGACACTGTATATAGTTCGACTATGCCATGAGCTTAAGTTATGTTTATCTGGCCATGGTACTACTACAGAGCGCTAATTGTATCAAGTGTGACACTTCAGTGCTTAAACTCTTCTTAAAACGTGAAACGAAGTTTATGAGTGCCATTTTTTACCTTGGAACGAAATTAATGCAGCGATATTTACGCTGAAACACCCATGTGCTTAGATTTAAAAATGCTTGAAAGACCCCAGACGTTCAAAATAATTCAGACGACGTGCCTCACATTATTGTTGTATAATTTTATTGTTGTATAATCTTTTTTTACACTGTCGGGATTGTTTGTGTAGCCAGTTATTGACTGACGGAAGGCAGCGTTCTTTTATCGATTGAAAAAAAAGAGAAAGGAAACATGTTCTTTCCATGAAATAAGCATATCTTTGTTTTATCACTGTCGTATGGACGTAATTCTTCAATGAAAAGTTTCTGCAGAACTCTTATGAGCTTTTGATAGTTCTACTGGTGCAAGAACATGTTCGTAGGTGGTGACGCAAAGCACTGTCAGCCAGGAAGCTTTCCTGGCTAGACTTATTAGCTGTCCCACATTTCATGGGGAATAGAATGAGGCAAAAAATGCGCCTGCGTATTCGGTGCGAACAGTGGCACCGAACGCGTCGAACCGATATGGGGGGTACTTTACCTTCTTTTTTTTTATAGTATTCAGATAAAGAAGATGTTAATAAGTAGTTCAGTCGTGAAGTAGAAGTGCGTAGGAGTTGGAACATGAGTGAATTGCGTACAAACAACGCAGCAAAAACGTGATTTAGTGCGAAAGCGCGCAGTCAGCCAGCTAGGACGAGCTTCAATCGCTAATAATAGTGAGGCTGCATGGGCTGTGCGCGTCGATTCAGCAGAGAGGAGAGTAAACATTACCAGTAAACTGCAGTCAACGTATTTTATTCGCCGGCAATCGGCTCAAACCACACGCAGTGAAACGCCGCTGTGTGTATTTGTGTACGCACCGCTGACTGCTTATTCACACTGCCGCAGGACAATGCTGCCACCTATACGCGATTTCGTCGTGAATACGCTAAAGTTTTGTCTATATTCTATTTCACGTCATTCACCTCCCGCAGTCTTGCTCATTGACTAACTGCTACAGTAGTGGAACGTTTGAAACACTGTTTCTCATGTTCGCCATCAACTCAGCGGTAAAAAAACCTCTTCACTAACCAATGCCCGTTAAGATATATGCATGTTGTAGTTCTGCGCTAAATTTGAGTTATATGTCACGCAGCAACTATGCTGGGCAATAAGCGCTAGACCTTGTGCTCTACATTTATAGACAAAGAAAGCGGCGCGAAAGTATTTGGGAGATCATGCAATTAACAATAATATATTGTGAAAAAATATAAGTTCGTCCTAATGAAGGCCGAATACGACAAGTTTATGCTGACGTAATATTACTGGCCTATACGGCTTACTTTTGACACAGTATGTTGTCCTGCTTTAGACTCTACATTCAGCTGTTCTTCCGAAATACCTGCCCTATAAGGCCAAATTGCCTGGTCAATTTGTTTGCGTCCATCGGAAGTGAACCAGCGGGTGCTGCAGTGGGATCTTGGTGCGATGAAGAAAGGCAAACGCTCGGTTACCCTTGTGCGACTGGACAGAATAGCGTTTTTGCTGACGAAAACACCACCTACACACACGAGGCCACGCGAATGGATCTCTTGCTAAAGTATTAGATCGCACCCCTGTTGGTGCACATAACAACTCACAACTGATGTTTTCGGGAACTAGCTACAATAGATTTATTAACGCATTTGCTAAATATTTTTGGTCAAATCATCGTCCAATGCCACGCGGTTAATCAGCCAGAAGAAATAAATACGGGACGACTGTGTTTACTTCTCTGAACATCTGCATTGGCGAGGGTGACATGTGGCACAGCTACAGACGTTTTCAAAGTGGGATCGCCTACATGCTGTACTCTCTTGTCAAAATTGTAAATGGTTGTTTTGATTGCCAAAAGGAGTAACCTTTAAAGACTAGATTACCGAGTAAAACAGGTAACCAAGTACTCACAAAGCTAAAATAAAAAAAAATAGTTGTGACCAACCAATATAATGTGAATGTTTTCAGACAAAGGGCTTCATGGAACTATATGTTTTCACCAAATTAATCTAGCATACTTTTACGGAGAGAGTCTGAGAGCTGAGATCTATGTATAGTTCTCATTCTGCAACGTGCATTACATGCGTCATACCTTGGTCTTGAATGTTGCGTATATTATAAAGAATAAAAAAGCTAGAATTTATTATTGTCTGTCAACCATCACGCACAGTGGACCAATTATACTGCACTCTTGTTTTTTAAATCCTTGCATTAAATTACAATTATTACACAAACACACTGACATTCTAGTTATACGCTCAATAGAGCAAGTTTGTTCATGACCGAATAATAAAATGCAGTAGTGTGAAAGAAACGAAGATGAGAGAAGAAGCAAAGGACTATCGCTTACTTCCAACAAGAGTGCTATTGAAACGTGGAATCGGTATTCCTCACGAGAAGAGAAGCTGGGGCCCAATTCATGATAATCTAACCAGACTTGTAATTGTCACCCTGATACCCAATTTTCCTGTCCCTCGAGCTAACGCTAATTAACACGCCACCCCATAATAATTACTTTCTTGTCCAATGCCTCATAGTTGGTGTAAGCAATTATGTGAGAAAATATAGTCAAGAGGTGCTTGATAATTACAACTAATTGGACTTTAGTGGCTGCAGTTTCATTACATTGTTGGCGAAAACGTATAGTGATTGTGCAAATTGCCTTTGGGACAATGTTTATCAGATCACGAACGGCGAGAGTATGCCCAGTATTGAATATTGAGTCAGGTCCGCGTAGGGGTGTAGCAGTTAAGCTCCCGGCTGCTGACCCGGATGTCGTGGGTTCGATGCCGGCCGCGGCGCTCGCATTTCGATGGAGGCAAAATGGTGGAGGTCCGTGTGCTGTGCGACATCAGCCCACGTTAAAAAACACCCGCTGGTTGAAATTCTCGGATTTCTCCCCTGTGGCGTCCCTCATAACCATATCGTGGTTTTTGGACGTAAAATCTCAGAAATTATTATTAACATTGAATCAGGGTAGGCCTTTTTATTTGATAAAATTGACGCACACTGTCATTGCTTACAGAGTATACAGTCAATTTGTTTTCATACTGTCATTCATCAAGCTTCATATCAGTTATGGTCAGGACAAAAGCTCCACACCAACATTTATCGTAGCTTCAAAAAGCGAAAAAAAGGTGGTTTATCATTGCCAAGGGCACGCCCATATGGTAGCATAACGAGGGAGAGACTTCATTCCCGTGCACTTTCCAGTACCACACTGGCAAGCCATCGGTAACATTGACATTGCAGCATGCGCCACGCTAGTTTCGCGCCATTGCTTCGTGGGCGCGTCGCATAACGTGTCTATAACGGACGAGCCTGGTGGCGCAGCTTGCTTCAAGGAAGACTACGGTAGCGACGGCGGCGGCGGAGAGGAGGCGGACCGGCATCCGCCCTTGTCGGGCCCAGTCGGAGGGCGCTCGGCGTCGACTGCCGCCAAGTCTGCATCCAGTGCGAAGAGGAGCGCCAGTGCGGCCGAGCACAGCCGTAGGGGAGCCATGGGCAACGTCTTCTCCTGCTTTCACGGCTCGTTCTCGCCCAGCGAAGCCCAGACCGAGCCCAAGCTGCTCCCAGTCGCACCCAGGCCACCGGGTGGTGAGTGCACAACACGTACAACTTTTTAAACTGGGTGAACACGAGTTTCTTCCTTGTATTTAGCTTGTGCGCGAGAGTGCTCTGACGGGTCACAGCAGACCAGTATGACTTCTCCACTGTGTTTCTTACCTCCATACGCTAAGAGCGCGAAAAACGACGAGGAGACAGTGGCGATATTTTCATGTTTAAATATGCCTCTATATTTTCGTCTTTTACTGCGCTGTTAACAATCCTTCAGTTCATAATGTGAAAGGAGACATCAGGGAAGTCGGTGCTCGCCACGATATCCGTGATGTGTTCTGTAGCAAAAGCATAGAGTGCAAGTGACACGAACGTTTCAAGGGACAATGGGACCGTTCTCACCGTCACGTCTTTGCTAGCGCAGTTTTGTGGTTAAAAGTATTCATCTTTATACAGGGTACAGTGCGGTGTAGTTGTGCAGCGGTGGAGTTAAAAACATCGGAGTGGTAATATCGTTAGTACATTGCAGAGATAAAGGCGTACCATGGCACTCTGCGCATGGGCTTGTTGCTCGTCGGCTTGTCTCAATGTCTTTTAATGCTGAATATTGTTTGCTACTTTATGCTTTTATATGACCCCTTTGTGTTAACAAAGCAGGAATGCACCAAAGCAGCGGAAATCATGAATTTATCTAGCTACAATCGACTTTCTCATAGTGCTATAACGAGTCTATTGTGGTTACGAAAATGTGATTTTTTGTTGTCAGTATAAAATGCGAAGATGTACGCACGCAATGAGCATAGCAAAAGTGGAATAGCTCACACTGATGAGCCATGGCGTATTGCCTTCGACACAAATTTAAAGACCAGATCACAATTTGCAAGTTTAATATGCATGGTCGCAAGCAAAATTTTGGGATCAGTTCTTCCCACAAATAATATTTTCTTTTAAGCCTAAGTATATTGGTTGAAATTGAGCAGTACAGCTTAAGTAATCAGGGTTTACTAACGATATGAGGATTTTTATGCTGTGGAAATATGCTAGGATGAAGTTCAATTATTTCGCCGTGCCAAGATCTTCAAATTTTTCTTGTGACCACACGTATCACCAATTTAGCAAACTGCAGGAAAAGCTGCAGAAAAGAGAAACGCTTGTAAGAGAACTGGAAACTATTTTATGAAGGTGATCAACTTTTCCACACGTTTTTATTTTCGTTATGAACAGTAATCTGCTTTACGCTTTTTGTGTTTCGCTCCTACCCGAATAATGCCTCCATTTGTTTAGAATCGGCATAGATGGTAGCTTTATCTTACATAGGAGAAAAAAAAACAGTAATGTATTTTTTGTGTACCTCTTGTTCAACGGACTCTCACAAGCAATGATTGATAGCTCCCACCTCCGCAGTTTTTATCTGCACTGCATGGCATGGCTTCTGCTGGGGAAAGCCTGCTTTGCTGTCTTTGTGTGGGACGCGCGTCGTGATCGCGCGTTGGCCGACGTCACACGAATGGTCTCAGTAAATTTATTTCTTGTCTAAGTGAGTTTCCATGCTGGCGCAGCGTCTTCTGCGCCACAAAACATTGGGGCGTGATGTTACCGAGGTGGGAGGCACGTCGCCTGTTCCGACCAGGCCTTGTTCTGTCAGAGAAATGTGTCAAAGAGTTGATGATAAAACGCGAACATTTTGTGGAGGCGAGAACCTTAGAGCCCCGTCAAACTTCGAAGATGGATTGTCGGCGTCAATGAGAAGTGATGCAAAATATCACTATCTTGTGATCACGACATATGGCGCCATCCTGACGTCAGATATGTCAAAATGTTCGATGTCTTTAGTCACCATGAGGTCACGCAATGTAACGTCATACAATGACGTCATCACATGACATCTTCGCTGTTTTGCTCAAACGTGGGCCACTTTAAACTACCTGAGTTGCAGTAAGCTTCCAAGGTCTCCGATCACGAAGACAGTGTGAAACCCAGTTACGTGCATAAAGCTTTTTGGGGGTATCAATACAATCGACTGAAAAGAATAAAAAGGAAGAATAACCTGGCTTACTGCTTCGAGTCCTCTTAAGTGGACGCATAAGGGACCCTGTGACGTCTGATCTAATTTTGCATGGCTAACTGACACTTCAAGCTCACATCCAAAAAAAGAAAGAAAAATAAAATTCTACAGCGTTTATTTTTTCGGAATAGTACATGTTTGACTCAGCGAAAAGAAACCCTTGTCAGTAAGGTGTTGGGTAGTAATTGTTTAATTAAACGAATGTTTCAAGGAGCTGCATAAATAGGCACCCATCCACTTCTATTTCTCTCTCTATTTTTACTCATGAGGAAGATGCGCAGCGCCCAACAGTTCTTTAAAGCGTGCGAGGATTGTCGTAGCTAACATAAGCGGAGATCGGAATAAATTCGTAGACAACAGCCACCATTTGTAGCGGAGTCACATCGAACAACACTTAAACAATTAGAAACAAAAGTAACATGAAATTTCGTAGTTATGCAGATAAGGAGTGAACTAGGATGAAGCGTCAAACAAGTGCGTATTTTGAATTAACGTATTTTGAATGCGGCTTGGGACTTGGCTTCCCGCCATGGCGCTTTGAGCTTAGCCGATTACACTTCTGCCATAGCCACTCCCGCTGTTTATTGCGATAGCAGTACATGTTTGCGTGTGCTTGAAAATGACAGTGACTGCGCTCACTGTGCTTTGCAAATCTGGAGGTGCAGCATAATAAATGAGCCTAGATGCCGGAAGGCGTGTATGATGATTGAAATAGCGCAATGAAGTTGAACCCTCCGATATGGAAAGTCCCTAAGAGCGAAATTTTCGGGACAACGAAGAAATATAGCATCCCTGGAGAACGTCTATATAAGATTCAATGCATTTGACCCCTCTCGACAGTGATTTTTATAAAGCACTTCCGCAATGACGAAAGTTTGAGGTAGCAATCCACAATATTTTTTCAATGCATGAGCTAGTTCAGAACCCACAATTTCAAGAATTTGAGTAGCGCTTGAGCAATCGACAGGTCCGACACAGAGTTTCCGCCAACGAGCATCGGTGCGACCATTGCTGTTTACGTTTGGTTCGATGGACAATTTATTATTTCTCCGCTGACAACAGTTCCTGGCTAACGCCTCGGTTCGAAACTATGTCGGCACGAGACGTTTCAAGTGACGAGACGCACGAAAAGGATGTCATGCCGACGGACATTCTGAAGACTGTTCAACTGCTTGCTATAGCGACTGTTAACGACGCTGTCATGAAAAGTGTGCGCGAAAAATATGAGAGGGACGGCGAAAGTGAAGAAATAAAAAAAGAGAAAGAAAGGCAGCTACGTTTGCCCGAAGTTCTTAATGCTTTTCACATGATTAGCACTTTATTCGGTGCCCACGGCGACGGCGAAGCTAATAATACGTACGCCCGAAAACTTCCATATCATTCTGAGGGACACCGTAGTGAAGGGCTCCGGGTATTTAGACCGTTGGGTGTTCTTTAACAAGCGCTGACATCGCACAGCACACGGGCTTCTACCATTACATCGAAATGCGACCGCCGTGGCCGAGATCGAACCCGCGACCTTCGGACCAGCAGCCGAGAGCGCTGTAGCCACTGCTCTACCACGGCGGACGACGATGACCAAGACATGCAAAACTAATTGCAAAATTTTGAGCCGTCAACCTCCCTTCAAAGCACAGATCAAGATCAGTGACTTCTTTAAATAAATTTTGCGATTGAGTTCTGCGGAAACCCGCAAAGTGGCGGAAGGATTAAGAAAGAAAAAGACAACCGCCGTTTTTTAGCATGAAGCCACAAGGAAATCCGTATGGATTTCTCAGAAAGAGAAGCCTCTTAGTTGCTGAAAAATTGGTCCTGGTCCGGGGTTCGACCAGGGACCAATGCCTATCCTGGCTGGTCGCTCTGTCAATTGAGCTAGGATAGGCGTTGGTCCCGGGTTCTAACACCGGACCAGGACAAATATTTTGGCATCTAAGAGGCTTCTCTTTTTGGGAAATCTCTACGGATTTCCTTGTGGGCTCGCGCTACAAGCGGGTGGTTGTCTGCTATCCTTCTTTAAAATAAATTTTGAGTTTGCGATGTAATTGGCGTGCGTGCTTTTCTATTTTTGCGACAAACATCGCTTTGCTGGTGATTTTTTTGTTGAGGTGTTCGACTGTACAGCGGAACCTTAACTTTATATTCTTAGACAAAGTGCAGCTGAGTGTGAGAAACATAATATTATAAACGCACAGTTTATGCTGAGTCCCTTTTTTTTTACTTTCACGGAAGATATGAAAAAAAAAAGAAAAGATGAAGACGCCACTAACTGGAGCACCAAGTTACATTCAATACCTCAACTTCAAATCGTAGGTGCTTCCCATGCCTTTTCATTCTTTTTGACACTTTACTGTAATTAAATTGTGGTGGTTCTAAATATTTCTACTCTGCAGTGTTTGCAGGCTCTTTGTACTGACGAGTTTGTCGGGTACTGTCACAGAACTAAGCGAAAACGTGCTAAGATTCCCATTAGGGCGCATTCGTTTCTTTGTTTGTTAAACATGAATCAGCTCCAGCTCAAGGTATGACGTTCTCTACCCACTTTTTTGCCAGCGCAAATTTACGGGGTGGGGGAGTGATTGTTAAATGAAAAAAAAAATTAACTGTCTCTCAGGAGGAGGAGACCTCAACAGTAGCTCACGAGGGGTGGGGGTAAGGAGGGATTGAAAGGATATGATTAAAAGATGATATACAGATAGAAGGAAGTAAGGAGAGAGCGAGGCGTAGGGACAGACACATACAAAATTAAGGAGAAGATAGGAAAGATGGACACGATCGAAGGAGTCCGAGGACGGGGCACCACTCGGCGAGAGCTCTTGTCGGCATCAGGAGATGGCGTAAGGCGAGCCAGTCGGCCAGAGCAGCGCTGTCGTCGGAGATGGCGGGGGCACAACCGGTCGGCACGGAATCCAGTGAGCGAGTCCGCAAACTTACAAAGAACACTAGCTCTTACGTAGGACTGTTAGTGGTTCTAAAT